GGGCGGAGGGCGCAGTCGTAGTTGGAGGCCCTGGAGCCAGGAGCCTGGCAGGGGGTAGCCCTGCCCACGACTCCCTCCCGGCCTCAAGGGAGGAGGCGCTGGGAGCTAGGGAATGGGCACCGGGTGCAGGGTGGGATGGGGTGGAAACGGGGGTGGGGGTAGACCGGGGAACGGGGTGGAGTGCAGGGGCTTGAAGGGGGTTCAGCGGGAACCGGAGGAGGAGACCCGAGGGGCGGGATGGGGGCGGGCGCTGGGCAGGATGGGGACTCAGGGCGGGATGGTGGGCAGGCGCGAGCCTCCGGCTAAGGGATGGGGGAACCAGGGGGCGGAACCGGGCGGACTGGCAGCACGTCCCCGCAGCCTCCAGGCCTCTTAGACCCCGAGTAAAGGCTGGAGAAGACCATCCAGGTTGGATTCCTCCGAGATTCCTTCAAGCCTCAGTGCCCAGCAGTTCCAAAGGCCAGAGTTCTGACCTGTGATACCTTTTTTATTTACTTTATGCAGAAAAAGCAAGTCAGTCTCTCTCTCTCTCTCTCCTGCAGCCTACAGTTCAGACCTGAGAACCTGCCCTGTTCCTTCCTGCCTTCCCTTCTCCACCCAACCCCAACTGCAGGGAGCCGGGCCTAGGAAAATGGCAACTACTAGGAGCCGCGGTGTCAGAACTGGCCGGCCTTGGCTATTATAGCCCAGCAGTTGGAGGGATGTGCCGCGCCCTGTAGGGTTGCCATCTGGGGTGACTTGGAGTTAACAGCTCAGGCATCTGCACCACTCCCCAAACTGCAGCCGGCAGCTGTGGGGGCTGCCGCCTCCCTAGTGCTGTGTCCAGAATCCTGGGAGCATGAGTCAACTCCCAGGACTCTCGGAAAATGAACAGCCATCTGATCACGCAGCTTCTCCTGCCTCTCACTCTGAAGGAAAGCACCACCGAACAAAGACAGTGCTATCAGCCACTCCTCCCCGGAGAGCCAGGGCTGCCCTGCTTTTGAATTGCATCTCCCTTGGTCCGGCTCACCATGCACGGAGATGGCAGAATTGTGGCATGCAAACTAGGCCTGCACTGCTTTCCCTAGTTGGGGGGGGAAGGGGGGCACCAAAAATTTGCCTGAACTGTGTGTCTTGAAATTTGCGTCGGAAATGTGGTGAGATAAAAGGAAATTTAAGATGCTTTAAGATTTAAGGTACTTTTGTAGCCTTAGTCCTCCACATCCCCAAGGTCTTTTTTTTTTTTTTTTTTAATAAATAGTGGTCTCAGAACAGTAAGCAATCAGGCAAATCAGGAAGACAGCACTTCTGCAAATGTACCGCGACCACCTTCTTGTGCCCAGGAACCCGCTCCACCATGGCCAGCCCACCTTTGAGGAAAAGTCTCCCTGGGACTCCAGATGCTCTTTCTCCAGAAAAGTACCCATAAGCCACTGCTATGTGCGGTAGAAATAATACCCCCAGCTTTCCACTGCCAGGGCTTCTGCGAGCCAGGCTGGGAGCTTAACTTTGGTTGTTCAGGGGTGTTCTGTCTGAGGGCTCAACAGGAGCCTGGGAAGTAATTTGGGGCCCCCTCTAAATCGGGGACATCAGTCTGCCCGTTGTTAAGCCTCTCCAAACCCTGCAAGACTAGAGGAAAGTCAGTGCTTGGGTAAGCATAACCCCAAGTGCCGGTTCTGCCAACCTTCCCAGTGTGCTGGTTCTGGGAAAATTCTTCAGGCTTTCAGCTCCGTTCACAGCATTTTGCTTTTGAAAGACAAAGTGTCGCTTCTTTCAAAGACCCCTTATCCACGCTCTGACCTCCTTGGCACATTGCCAACAATGGTCCTTTCTTCTGCAGGCTCAAGTCCACAGATAGGGTGACTTATTCTTACACAATCGGGGGCGGGGATCCCCTCGGCCCACACCACTTCACCTCTGCTGGGTCTTACAAAACGGAACAGGCACACAGCGACCTCCCCCTGTTCCCCATCCTGTAGTTTTTGCCCTGTTCCCTTCCTTGTCGGTCTGCCACAGGTCCGCGGGAATGACCGAACCCCTCTCCACTCCAACCTCCCTATGGGCCCAAACCCCATTTCCCACTTCCTGTCGTGGTTCCTGTATGTCTGACACTTCTCTTGCACTCAGCATTGTGTGCCCCAAAACCATTCAGCTTCCAGCCCTGTTGGCACAGCTCTGCTCTTCCCATCCTGCCTGACAGTCCTGGTGGACACTTCTTACTTCCTCAAGGCCCCTCTTTTCTGTAACTCCTGCCCTTCTTCAGATGGGCCTCAGGGTTCCAGCCTCACTCCCCTCCTACCCACTTCTTCACAACCGCATTGAAGAGCAGCCTTGGTCCCGTGGCTCCAATGCCCCGACAGGAAGCACAGACCACGGGGTACATGCCTTGACCTTGAGTGTGATGGCAGTGCCCCAGATCAAGTGTATTTTGGAGCCAGATAAAACTAGAGTGTGAGCTTTCTATGTCGGGAATAAGTTAGATAGGAGCGGGGCTGCCCTCCAGGAAGAGTGGAAGGAAAGATAGAAAGGACCAGGGCCCAGGGCAGGCAAGGACGGTCAGCAGCCAGAGGGCGATGAAGCTAGAAGGGCCTCCGGGAGGTCTGAGGGCTGCTGGAACCCCACCAGCATGCCCCGACTCCCCTTGCACAGCTCCCCAAGCTCCCCTGTGTCCTCGGTGCACCTCCACCACCTCCCCATGCCCAGTGCTCTGAGTGTCCTGGCCACCTTCCTGGCCACCTCCCTTTCCTCAAAGCGGGCAGCTGTGATAATCCGTGATGGATAGATCACGTCGGAGTAAGGAAACCACACTGTGTACGCACCCCAGGAGGGAGCGTGCAGCCTGTGCAGAGGCAGCCAGCCCGCGCTCGGTCTCCCCAGAGCATCCCTTCCTGGTGCTCCGGGGAAAGCTGTGTGGGGAACCCGCTTTGCAGCACTAAACCTTCTGGACACCAGGGGGGCTGGTCAGTCCGGGTATGAGAATTCCTGCACAGGGGTCCCAGGTCCTCTGGGGAGGCGGCACTGAGAGGGGCATGTGCAAAAGCTCTGGAGTCACCAACCAACGGATGTCCCTCTTCCTGCAGGAATTCCTGTTCTCATTACTTGATTAAAAGAGCTGCTAGGAGTGCCCCTTCCTCCAAGACTAACAGAACACCTAGGGCACAGCCATAAGACCTGCGGGTGATGGAGGGACAAAGGTAGCATCTGAACTTGCTGACCCACTGCAGATCCCTGCAGCAGCCCACTGGACACCGAGTGCTTCCCAACGTGAGGCCAAGGGTGCCCAGCGCCACGCTGGGTCTCCTTGTGATGTCCTCAGACCTGAAGCCAATAGAGCTTTTGCACATGCTGTGGGGTTGCTGGAGTCACAGGTGTCAGGGAAGGGTGTCTTACCCAAAGTACAGCTGTGCTGCTCAGACGCCCACCTGGGGACTCAGTGAGATGTGGATCCTGATTCAGCAGGGCAGGGCATGGCAGGGCATGGAAGGGCAGGGCAGGGCAGGGGTGGGGTAGTCTGAGACTCTGCATTTCTCACAGGCTCCCACATCTGGTCCATGAGCCATAGTCTGTTCAACAAAGGGCTGGATGGGGAGAGCATTATAGATGAAAAGAAGCTTAAGAGAGGGGACAACCAGATGCAATATGTGGCCAAAAAACCAAGAGTAAAGGTATTTCTGGCTACTGGGAGGGAATTTAATATGGACTGGGTAGTAGATGAGATTAATGAACTATTAATGATATCGAGTGTGTTAATGATATTGTTAAGCCTTTATTTGATATATACGTTTGTGTGTGTGTGTGTGTGTGTGTGTGTGTGTGTGTTTTAATGGAAACTGACTGTTGAACTTTCCAGGCCCCATGGCCTTGGAAAACAGTAAAGGTTAAAACGCAGTCCCTCACTTTGTGTTCTGGAACATGGCTCACCAGAGAGAACCCCCTGTCCCATGTGATTTAGATGAAACTTGGGGGGTTCCCTGTTCATCTAGGACAGGGGTGGGGAAACATTTTTCTGCCAAGGGCCATTTGGATATTTATAACATCATTCATGGGTCATACAAAATTATCAACTTAAAAATTAGCCTGCTATATTTGGTCAGACATTTAATTAACTCACCCCTAATGCCTTGGCAGGGCTGGACCAAATGATTTAGAGGGCCTTATACAACTCTTGGGCCGGACGTTCCCCCACCCCTGATCTAGTAGGACAAGCCAAAAACAACCCCTCTGCACTCCCTTCTCTGCCTCATTGGTGCTGAGCTGGACTGTCATCCCCACTGATCAGCTTCCCTCCTCCCCTGCCACCCTCACCTGCGCCAGGAGAGGCCCCTCCTGAGAACAGGTGGCTGCAGGGAACCTGCTCCGTCTTCTGTCTCAGCTCAGTCTCCACACCTGGCTCTTTCTCACTTGGTTTACATATATATATACTAGTGGCCTGGTGCACAAAATTCGTGCACATTAAAAGGGAATTAATTAGAGAAAATATTTGAATATTGCTAGTTGCCCTTTCTTTATAATAGAAGTGTCAGAGATGAAAGAAAATTAGTAAAATGTATATGAAAATCTTCCTCCTGTCAGAGTCTGGGGCATGCCGCGGGACCCAGAGTCAAGTCCCCGCCCACCCGTGTGCACTTCGAAATTGCACCAGGCCTAGACCCAGCCGGCCCCACCCCTGTCAAGCCCCACCGGGTGGGGGGGGCACAGCCTCAGGGCCCCTGCCCCGGCACCACACAGCCTCAGGTCCCTGTTGATCGCTCGTTAGGCTCATTATGGGAACCCCGCCTCCACTGTGGGCTCAGCTATCTTGTGTCAGTGTGATGGAATGAGGGTCAATTTGCATATCACCTCTTTATTATATAGGATATGCACATACACACACAGCTCTTAGGCCTAGCTCTTCAGAAGGTTCTAGACCTAATGGTCAGAGTTCTTACTATGGCTATAGTGCCCCACACACTTGCAATCATCCTTTTTTCTTTTTCTTTTTTAAATAAGGTACTAAGTCCAGATTTGTTTTTATTTGACAAAGAAGAGTACTATGGATGAAATGATATGAAGTCTAGAGTTGGATTTAACTACACTCCAGCAAGGGGAAAAAAAGGAAGAAGGTAGATTAAAAAAAAAGGCAAAATTGTTGAAGATGGGTATTAAGTACCTGAAGGGCTCTTTTCGTCTATTTGAAAATTTCCATAATAATGTATTTAAACAGTAAAGAAGGGATGCCCTCTCCTTCTCGGGGGGAGAAGGGGACAGCAGGGAGCTAGAGGCCCTTGGAACTGATTCTCTTGCCTTGAGGCCCAGCCTTGACTTTGGCCCCCATCCAGCTGGCTTTGCACTTCAGCTCCCTGGTCTGGGGCAGGGCCAGCACCCAGCCTTAGAGGCCCATTTTGACTCTGGGGATTAATGTGCACAAATATACGCCTCCCACTCAGAAGGTCTGAATGGGTTCAGAACTGGCCTCTTCAAGATGCACTATTTTGGTAGGTGAATTGTTTTGAGCTGAAGGCAATTGAGACCCTGCAGGATCATGAGAAACTTTCACCTCTCCCTTCAAGAATTTAAATTAGGTGCTTTGCCCATAATAAGAGTTATGATCAGCCCTGACCAGGTAGCTCAATTGCTTAGAGCATTGTCTGATAGGGCACATATAGGAAGCAACCAATGAATGCATAAATAAGTGGAACAACAAATCAACCTTTCTCTCTCTCTCTCTCTCTCTCTCTCTCTCTCTCTCAAATCAATCAATCAATCAATTAAAAATTAAAAAAAGAGTTATTGTTACAGGTGAGATGACGAGACTTCGGTTCTTGTCTTCTTTTTTTTTTTTTATTAAATCTTCCACCCTCCGCCCTCACTCCCCACCCACTGTCCTCATCCATAGGTGCACGATTTTTGTCCAGTTTCTTCCCGCATCTCCCATTCCCCTTTCCCCCCCAAGAATAGTCAGTCCATTCCCTTTCTATGTCCCTGATTCATTATAATCACCAGTTCATTCTGTACATCAGATTATTTATTCACTTGGTTCTTAGATTCACTTGTTGATAGATGCATGTTTGTTGTTCACAATTTGTATCTTTACCTTTTTCTTCTTCCTCTTCTTAAAGGATACCTTTCAGCATTTCGTATAATACTGGTTTAGTGGTGATGAACTCCTTTAGCTTTTCCTTATCTGTGAAGCTCTTTATCTG